CAAATGTCAAAATTTTGTCATTTTAGTTGAAAATATTGCTTTCAGATATGTTACCAAATTTTAGGTCTTTTTTTTAACTTGAACTTTTTTAGCCTAAAATTTCTCCATATATATTTAGGCCTAAAAAAATATAAGGATATTTTTATTTATTTTGTTTTAGTTAGATTGTAAATTCATTAACTAATACATCACTATTAAATGGTAACTTGTTTGTCATGTTTTTAAATAATTTTCGTAATAATTTTTATATTTTTATTTTTATTATTCAGTTACAAAATGATACTGTGAGAATTTTTTTAATATATTCCCTCATAATATTGTAAGTATTAATTTAATATTTTATTTTTTTGAATAATAAAAAAAATATAAGAAATATATTAGCCTACTAATATCATGCTAAATATACCATATACAGTAGTATGTATGAATTTTATTCTCTAAAAAAAATAATTATGTATGCAATTCTCTACCACATAACCAAATCACTGATAGTGATGGTGACATTTAATGAATATAAACTAATATATTTTTAAATTAGGGGAATCAAACAAATAAAAAACTAATTTACTGACCTATTCAAATATTTAAAAATAATACAAATACTAATTTAATATTTAGGCTTATTAAGAAATATTTGTGAAAATAACTAATATGAATTCGAAAATTTTCCTCTTTCTCTTGTTATATGTAAATATGCCTTATTATTATCACTAATGAATAGTAGTTTAGCCATTTTTAATCTATTTATTTAAATAAAATTAATAAATGAATTTTAGTTTTATACCTTTTAGAGTTGAGTTTATATATATGTGTGTGTGTGTGTAATTTTAACTATTATGTATTTTAAAAAACTAAGGTTTATTTACAACTAATCAAGCTCGTGAAATAAATAAGCGAAAGAAAATATCATGATTAGATAGATAAAAAAGAAAAACTGCATCAAAATGAGTCTACCTATTGAATAAGTTAAACAAATGGAAGCCATATCTCGAGTGGTTTCGTGGTGGCTTCGCTCCATATCTTAGGCACCATGAGTTTTTGGGGTGAATTTCGGTCATTCGTGGTGGCACGTGGTAGTGCCGGCAGTGGAAGCGTGATGATGTGTGGCGATTTTGATGGTGGTGCGTGCGGCGACGCATGTTAATTCCAGTCGTGGCACGTGCGACAATGCATGGTGATCTATTAACACGCATGTGGTTGCACATCGTGACTCTAATGACTGGAGACCACTTATCCAGGATAAAATTAATTTTCCTTATGTTCTATATCGTTTTAGATATTATTATTATTAATAACACGCATATTTTATTTATATATGAGAGAAACATTCGAGTAGTAGCTGGAAATTAAAAAATACATTTTTTTGCATGTGTATATATATATGTGTGTAAATACATTTCTTTTGTGTGCATTGTGTGTATGTAAGTATGTGGATATAAATGTACAATATTTGTGTGTGTAAATACATATTTTAGTTGTGTGTGTGTGCGTGTGTGTGTGCGTGTGCGTTCACGTGCATGTGCAAACACGTGTGCGTGCGTGTATCTCTATGTGTGTGTGTGCGTGCGCGCGTGTGTGTCGTGTGTGCACGTGTGTGTGTGCGCACGCAAGCGTGTGTGCGCGTGTGTGTGTGCGTGTGTGTGCGCGCGTGTGTGCGCGTATGTGTGCGCATGCATGTGCGTGTGTGCTTGTGCGTGCGCAAGCGCGTGTCTGTGTCTGTGTGTGCATGCATTCGTGTGTCTGTATCTGTGTGTGTGTGTGTGTGTGTCTATGTCTGTGTGTGCGTACATGCTTGTGTGCGTCTGTGTCTGTGTGCGTACATGTGTGTGTGCGTGTGTGTGTAGGGGTGTGGGTG